TGGTTATTTGAATCAGCTGTGTAGTGCTAGGGAAAAAAAAAAAAAAACGTGCACCCAGGGGTGAGGACCCAGGACCGAGTTTGGGAAACGCTGAGTTAGGCTACACACTCATAGTTGCTACTTATCTCTCTTTCTCGCTCTCTCTCTCGCTCTCTCTCTCACCCTCTCTCTCGCCTTCTCTCTCACCCTCTCTCTCGCCTTCTCTCTCACCCTCTCTCTCGCCTTCTCTCTCACCCTCTCTCTCACCCTTCTCTCACCCTCTCTCACCTTCTCTCTCACCCTCTCTCTCACCCTCTCTCTCACCTTCTCTCTCACCCTCTCTCTCACCCTCTCTCTCACCTTCTCTCTCACCTTCTCTCTCACCCTCTCTCTCACCTTCTCTCTCACCCTCTCTCTCACCTTTGCGCTCACTCTCTCTCTCACCTTCTTGCTCGCCTTCTCTCTCAACCTCCATCTCACCCTCTCTCTCACCCTCTCTCTAACTTTCTCTCTCACCATCTATCTCACCCTCTCTCTCACCTTCTCTCTCACCCTTTCTCTCACCCTTCTCTCGCCTTCTCTCTCACCCTCTCTCTCGCCCTCTCTCTCACCCTTTCTCACCTTCTCTCTCACCCTCTCTCTCACCCTCCCTCTCACCCCTCTCTCTCACCTTCTCTCTCACCCTCTCTCTCACCCTCTCTCTCACCTTCTCTCTCACCTTCTCTCTCACCCTCTCTCTCACCCTCTCTCTCACCTTCTCTCTCACCCTCTCTCTCACCTTTGCGCTCACCCTCTCTCTCACCTTCTCACTCGCCTTCTCTCTCACCCTCCATCTCACCCTCTCTCTCACCCTCTCTCACCCTCTCTCTAACCTTCTCTCTCACCATCTATCTCACCCTCTCTCACCTTTTCGCTCACCCTTTCTCTCACCCTTCTCTCATCTTCTCTCTCACCTTCTCTCATCTTCTCTCTCACCTTCTCTCTCACCCTCTCTCACCCTCTCCTTCACCCTCTCTCTCAACTCTCTCACCCTCTCTCTCACCCTCGCTCTCATCTTCTCTCTCACCCTCTCTCTCACCTTCTCTCTCACCCTCTCTCTCACCTTCTCGCTCGCCTTCTCTCTCACCCTCTCACTCACCCTCTCTCTCACCCTCTCACTCACCCTCTCTCTCACCCTTTCTCTCACCCTCTCCTTCACCCTCTCTCTCAACTCTCTCACCCTCTCTCTCATCTTCTCTCTCACCCTCTCTCTCACCCTCTCTCTCTCAGCTTCTCTCTTGCCTCCTATCTCACCCTCTCTCACTCAGTCCCCAGCTGTGTGATGGTTGCAGATAGATTGTAACTTCCATCAAAGTAATTGTCTGCATCACTTCCAATCCCCCATATGTTTTTTTTCTTCTCGCAAATAACATCTGCTAAACATGTGTATGTGACAAATACAATTTGTCACATAGACACACACACACGACACACATGCTCCCACTTTATTTTATATATCACAGATGGTTTCTGTATGTAATGGTCTTACACACACTACCAGTCAAAAGTTTTAGAACACCTGCTCATTCAAGGGTTTATTTTTATTTTTACTATTTTTTACATTGTAGAATAATAGTGAAGACATCAACACTATGAAATAACACATATGGAATCATGTAGTAACCAAAAAAGTGTTAAACGAATCAAAATATATTTTATATTTGAGATTATTCTAATAGCCACCCTTGATGATAGCTTTGCACACTCTTGGCATTCTCTCAACCAGCTTCATGAGGTAGTCTCCTGGAATGCATTTCAATTAACAGGTGTCCTTTGTTAAAAGTTAATTTGTGGAATTTATTTCCTTCTCAATGCGTTTGAGCCAGTCAGTTGTGTTGTGTTGTGTTGTGTTGGGGGGGTATACAGAACATAGCCCTATGTGGTAAAATACCTAGTCCATATTATGGCAAGAACAGCTCAAATAAGCAAAGAGAAACAACAGTCCATCATTACTTTAAGACATGAAGGTAAGTGAATACGGAATTTCAAGAACTTTGAAAGTTTCTTCAAGTGCAGTCGCAAAAACCATCAAGTGCTATAATGAAACTGTCTCTCATGAGGACCACCACAGGAATGGAAGACACAGAGTTACCTCTGCTGCAGAGGATAAATTCATTACAGTTACCAGCCTCAGAAATTGCAGCCCAAATAAATGCTTCACCGAGTTCAAGTCACAGACACATCTCAACATCAACTGTTCAGAGGGGACTGTGTGAATCAGGCCTTCAAGGCCTAACTGCTGCAAAGAAACCACTACTAAAGGACACCAATAAGAAGATGAGGCCTGCTTGGGCCAAGAAACACGAGATTACACCGGTGGAAATGTCCTTTGGTCTGGAGTCCAAATTGGAGATCATTGTGAGACGCGGTGTGGGTGAACGGATGATCTCTGCATGTGTAGTTCCCACCGTAAAGCATGGAGGAGGAGGTGTTATGGTGTGGGGGTGCTTTGCTGGTGACACTGTCTGTGATTTATTTAGAATTCAAGGCACACTTAACCAGCATGGCTACCACAGCATTCTGAAGCGATACGCCATCCCATCTGGTTTGGGCTTAGTGGGACTAGTATTTGTTTTCAACAGGACAATGACCCAACACACCTCCAGGCTGTGTAAGGGCTATTTGACCAAGAAGGAGAGTGATGGAGTGCTGCATCAGATGACCTGGCCTCCACAATCCCCCGACCTCAACCCAAGGTGAGATGGTTTGGGTTGAGATGGTTTGGGATGAGTCGGACGGCAGAGTGAAGGAAAAGCAGCCAACAAGTGCTAAGCATATGTGGGAACTCCTTCAAGACTGTTGGAAAAGCATTCCAGGTGAAGCTGGTTGAGAGAATGCCAAGAGTGTGCAAAGCCGTCATTACCTGAAAACATATCTGAATACTTATCTGAATACTTAACTGAACATAATTACCTAAATACTTACCTGATTACTTACCTTGACATACTGACCTGAACCCACTTACCTGAACATACTTACCTGGACATGCATACCTGAACATACTTACCTGAATACTTACCTGAATACTTACCTGGACATACTTACCTGAATACTTACCTGAACATACTTTCCTGAATATCTAACCTGAACATACTTACCTTGACATACTTACCTCAACATACTTACCTGAGACTTACCTGAATACTTGTGCCCTTGAGCACTGAAACCCCGCAAAACAACAGCTCCCTGGGCACCCAGTGTGGCAGCACCTCTCCAAAAACCTGTATATTTATGTATGTATGTGTGTGTCTTCCCGAGGGATTGGGTTAAAAGTGGAAGTAAACTTTTGGTTGGACCTTATGTGCAATTGACCAATAAAGTGATGTTAAACTCTTGGTGGAATGAATCCACAACAGATCTGTAAAACTCCTGCATAGACATGGGAGAGGCAACTACATCAAAAATCACTCACACTCTCACTCTCACTCTCACTCTTATTTCCGCTAATGGTGAAGATCACAACCTCAAACTTTCCAATGGTGGCAAACATTATCAAGCTTTGGTTCAGAATTAGATCTCAAGAGTTGATGAAGGTTGTTAAAAATACATTCTGTAGCAATCCGCCAGAGAGAGAGAGAGAGCGAAAAGTAATCTGAAGCATCTGAAGCTTGCCCAGTGAGGACTGAAAGTACATTCAGAATATGCAACAAGTAATCATGGCAACAAATTAACCAAACATTACAAATTCTAGGGTCGCTTGGATACCGAAATGCAAATCCTTAGCAACAATGCTTTGTATAATAATAATTCACGCTAACATTCCATATTTGAGGATTTTCTAGGAAAAACATGTGAAAGCCTTAGCAACCATGATATGTAATAACTTATAGAAGTAGTTTTTTTAAATCTGTGATTGTGCAGTTAGAACTTTTATTACTGTACGTGTTTTGACTTCTGTTTTTTTGTACCAATCCGTCACCACACAAGGTTCCCTCTCAGGAAAATAAAACGTTGTTTGAATTTAAAGTTGCTATATGTAACTTTGTGGGCGACCCGACCAACTTCACGTACAAAATGTGTCTTATAGATCTGTCATTTCTCATTGAAAGCAAGTTCAATGATCTGTTCTATTGGCGCTATTTCAATGCTTCTCATTCTTCAAGTTTTGTTTTTTGCATCTTTTACGTTAGGTTTTGTACACCTGCTTCAAACAGCTGAAAATACAGTATTTTTGGTTATTGAAAATATATTTCACAGTGGTTTAGATGGTACAATGATTCTTCACACTATGCTTGCGTGTTTTGTCACATAAACTGAAATTAGGCAAACTATTAGAATTTAAGCAACCAGGAAATGGCGGAGCGATTTCTGCATAGTGCATCTTTCATTGAATTCCATTGGATGACCTAGTTGAGCTTTGTTGACTCATGCTCAGCTACCTATAACCATAGGGCGGTAACCAAACCCATCTTGCAGAACTTGGTAAACCTGGCTATAGTTGTATGTTCAAAGGATGCATCCTTTTAAATCTGACCCCCAACACCCCTCTCTCGCCGCTACCTCCCCCTACCTCCTCCTACCTCCCCCTACCTCCCCCTACCTCCTCCTACCTCCCCCTACCTCCCCTACCTCCTCCTACCTCCTCCTACCTCCCCCTACCTCCCGCTAACTCCCCCTACCTCCCCCTACCTCCCCTACCTCCTCCTCCTACCTCCTCCTACCTCCCCCTACCTCCCGCTAACTCCCCCTACCTCCCCTACCTGACCTCCCCCTACCTCCTCCTACCTCCCCCTACCTCCCCCTACCTCCTCCTACCTCCCCCTACCTCCTCCTACCTCCCCTACCTCCCCCTACCTCCCCCCTACCTCCTCCTAACCGTCCCCCTACCTCCCTCTAACTCCCCTACCTCCCCCTACCTCCCCCTACCTCCCCCTACCTCCCCCTGACCCCCCTACCTCCCCTACCTCCCCCCTACCTCCCCCTACCTCCCCTACCTCCCCCTACCTCCCCCTAACTCCCCCTACCTCCCCCTACCCTCTCAGCCAGAGGAACCAGAGAGCACACCTGTGCGTGCCCCTCCAACAGAGGCGTCGCCCAGTGACGATGAGGATGCTGATGAGATCTCGGGTCAGGACGTGGAGCTGACCGCTGAGAGAGGTGAGAGATGTGTGGCAGGTGAGAGATGTGAGAGATGTGAGAGATGTGAGAGATGTGAGGGAGAGAGAGAGACATGGAGGTAGACTGTACATAACACTGCATGAATATATTATTATTATTATTATTATTATAATCCCTTGTGGTGTTGAAATGAAGAGCCACCAGGGGGCGATAGAACATGGTGAGGCACAGAGCCATATACATGTGTATTGAGTATTTTGTATCTTTGGCCACAGAACCAAGTCGGACTGCGGATGCAGCCTATAGACCAAGGAGTGTGAGTATGAGGACCTGTAGTGTGTTACCTGCTCTATAGTACCCACTGATGTGTTTAAACCCCGGATCGCTGATGCTATGTAACGGCCAATGAGAGGCTTTGAAACCACCGGTCGCTATATTGGTACCCCGCAGAAGAAGAATCCTCCATAAGAATTAATGGAATTCTACAGTATTTAAATCATATGTTTCAAGGACAAAATTACATGTATTTAAGTATTTTGTTGTAGAGGGGACGGTAAAATGAGTACTATGTTTTTACATTATTTATTTTTTGTTCAGTTCACTTAAAATGATTTAAAAGTGTGCATTAAGGTGTCTGCAATAGAATATACTTGTCAAAAATGAATGTAGACATTAATAAATGCATTTCTATAGCTTCCAACAACTTTTTTTTTTTACATTTTAGCAGACACTCTTATCCAGAGCAATTAGGGTTAAGTGCCTTGCTCAAAGGCACATTGACAGATTTTTCACCTAGTCGGCTCGGGGATTAAAACCAGCGACCTTTCGGTTACTTGCACAACGCTCTTAACCACTAAGCTACCTGCTTAGTTACAGAGGAGTAACTAAATGGCTGTGCAGTGGCTTTAATACATCACCCACTGTCAGTCATCTAGGGCTAATACATATCATTGATAGTACCTGACCAGCCATCAAACAAATCATTGGTTGCCAATATACCATACTACCACACTTCATGTTCTCATGGTGTGACTCTCTCTCTATCCCTCCAGGGGACTTCCAGTCAGAAAGGAGAGCGAGGAGACCCAGGACCAGCCGGCCCCCCTGGCTTCCCCGGACCTCCAGGCCCACACAGTCCCTCAAGCAATGGCTTCTCTGAGGCAGTGCCGGGACCCAGGGGCCCCCAGGGGCCCCCAGGACCAGCAGGAACACCCGGAGAACCCGGCAATGACGGCCAGCCAGTAAGAACCTGGTTGTTACCGCAACGTCCCCTCCCTTCACCCCTTATTTGGTCATGTTTATCAGCGCTGTAATTGTAATTGGGCGTAATTGCAAATCACGATTGTATCTGGTTACGGTCGATTCGTTCGTTCTCTCTGAGTCCTAGACAGTGCCCTGCCAAACACCAACCAGCCAGCCTGATTTGTCATGCTTCACATCGTACAGTAGGAGCTCGGCAGTTGGCAGGGCGATAGGACAGAATTCTTTATTTCTCTGTCTCACATCGAGAACATGCTATTCTTTCCATTTGTGTGGTTTGGTCGGCCAGGCATATTTTTCACCAATATAGTTCAGTTCCATTGGTGGTCTCTCTCTGTAATTCTGCTATTGCCCTCATTTTAATGGCCCATTTACGTGGTTTTATGCCCACAGCCAGAATCTTTCATTCCTTAGCACTTCAAACATTCATCATTACTAGACTTAAACATCTCTGAGCTTAGATCGCTATAGTCCTACTGCACTGTGGGAATTAAACTATTTTTCTATACAATAGTGTACTGAATAGTTTCAGAATTTGTATTGTATTCTTAATCTCCAACCAATAGTCCCTACGGTACACAATACATAACAGAGACTTGACTCTGTTGTTCTGCTATATATAATAACTCCCACCCTCTTTCTTTCTCAAGAACACGACTGTTCTCATTCCACTGTAAACACACCACAGCTGCTTAGGCACACACAGCCAATACATTTTAGTCATTTAGCAGTCGCTCTTAAATATTTATTTATTTATTTTTCATTATTTTTATTTTTTTCATACTGGCCCCCCGTGGTAATACCACACACGTGTCCACCAGACTAAGCCAACTATGGAGGAAAGGGGGATGAATTCATTTGGAAATGTTTTACAAAAATGAGGAAAGTTGAGTCATTGTTTATTTACAACTCACATCCCTGGACATCAATGGGTCTTTGATCTGCTCTGTGCGTTTCTATCAGTGGAACGTTAGCACCTGCCCACCTGTGGGCTTGATAAACTCTGAAGCCCAGGTCCTGACCTCTGTGGGAAGGGATATGAGGTGCTGCTCACATGTGGGGTACATCTGTATGCGGTTCTGTCTGTGTGTGTCTACGTGTGTGTCTGTGTTTGTGTGTGTGTGTGTGTGTGTGTGTGTGTGTGTGTGTGTGTGTGTGCGCGCAGCCTCATGAGTCATAAAGGTGCTTCAGAGGGGATTAGATAAGTGTCGTAGTGAAAACCGGGTGGATGATCTCTTTGAACACTGTGTTTATGGAGTGATATAACTCTGGAAGGAAGGGCCACACATGAATCCAGTCTCCAACTCCTGTCAATCCACCAATCATTCTTAGAAAGCCTGCAGTACTGTACACAACCCATGTGGATATCTTTATATGTTTCAACCCATCAGCCATTTCTCATGTTGATAATCCTCACTTGCTGTGTTCCTACCACAGGGAGAAACTGGAGTTCAGGGATTCCCAGGCTTGCCAGGTGATCCCGGTCCCAAAGGAGACAAGGTGCAACATCGCATACTGTATAACCCCCTTTCACTGCTGCAGACGGTACATGATGTTCTAGTGGCCTACAGGTTTTAGCTCCACTGTCACTGAATAGTTCAGCAGTGCTCGACTTCATTGCATTGCACATTTTTGCTCTTGCCCAGCACCAACACACCTGATTCAACTAATCAAGGGCTGGCGATTAATTGAATCCGTTGTGTTAGTGCTGGGCCAGAACAAAAATATGCACCAAGGGTTCCCCCAGGTAATGGATTGAGAAACACTGTTGTAGTTGGTTGTTGTGTTTGACCCTTGACCCTTGATTGTGTGTCTTGTTGACCCCTGAAGGGTGATCCTGGAGTGGGCAAACCTGGTCCCCTCGGACCTCCTGGGCCACCGGGCCGACCCAACTCATCCAGATCCCCGGTATGTAAGTGTGGAATGAACCACACCTGGATGTGAATAGATGGATTGGAAGAATTAGTTGGTTGATTGATTGGTTGTTTTCATTGATTCATCAGTTCATTCATTCATTGTAAGCGTATGTGGTTTGCAGAACGGTGTGGACGGCTCAGGCTTTGAGTACTTTGACGGAGACACAGAGATTATGACAGTGAGTGGTCATCCTTTTCAAAACCCTAGAATCCACACCTGCTGTTGTTATGCTCTCTGACTACAGTCACAAACACCATCTGGGTACACACAGTTAGCTTTAGCATTCATGCATTATGACAGCTGTCTCATGTTATTTGTTAGCATTAATGTTTTTTTTTTTTTTTTTTTTTCTTCATCCAGGGTCCTCCTGGTCCACCTGGCCCCCCAGGGCTGCCTGGCCCCCCAGGTTCATATGAGGCCCTCTCTGCGTCCCCTGGGGCTCCCGGGAAAAACGGGAAGGATGGAGAGATGGGTAAACCTGGACTGCCGGTGAGTCACCGAACACTTTAGTGAAACTCACTCACTCTCACTTGTACCGTTAAAGCCAGTGAGTGGTAAAATGGCGCCATCCATCTAGCAGTTGTAGTTCTAAGTGCCAATTAAGTAGCTGTTATAGCACCCCCGTGGGGAGGTCAGCGTTGGTACATTCCAACCCACCGTGTCATGAACCCACGTTTGAAGGAGACATCTAAAACTGTATTGTAGACTCAACTTAGTTCTATGGTGGTGTTTAAGTCCCTTTGTACATAACTCACCAGGCCTCTGTTTCAGGTGATGCTGGAGTGGTTTAATAGGTCTGGTCCTATCAGAGGTCTGTAAGGCAGCTTGGTCTGGCTCTGGGTCTGGTGAGGTGTGTGTGTGTCTCTCTGTGTGTGTGTGTAGCTCCGTGTCTCTCTCTCTCTCTCTGTGAGTGTGTGTGTGTTTGTGTGTGTGTTTGTGTGTGTGTGAGAGCTTTGCAAATTCATTTCTTAGAACAAAGCGCTGCCAGATAATCAAAAGCATTAAACCCCAGGTGTCTGCCAGATAAAGCATTAAACCCCAGGTGTCTGCCAGATAATCAAAAGCATTAAACCCCAGGTGTCTGCCAGATAAAGCATTAAACCCCAGGTGTCTGCCAGATAATCAAAAGCATTAAACCCCAGGTGTCTGCCAGATAATCAAAAGCATTAAACCCCAGGTGTCTGCCAGATAAAGCATTAAACCCCAGGTGTCTGCCAGATAAAGCATTAAACCCCAGGTGTCTGCCAGATAAAGCATTAAACCCCAGGTGTCTGCCAGAGGTTTGTCAAGCCCAGCGGCAACCTTCTAACACAGCTCTGACCGCTACATGACAAGAGATTCCTGGTAACCATTTGGATATCCCATATTTCCCCCACAACCCTGCAATTTGTTCTGCTTGGTTAAGCCCAGAAGGTTCCGGAGGCCCAATGTTTGTGAGTGATTTAACGGACGACTGAGGCACCCAGAGTAGCTGTCACCATGGTGAGGTCACCACGGAGCTGGACCCTGGTGACACCGATCTGGGTTGCCTTGACAACTTGTAATGCATTTGATGATGCCCAGTGGTGACTTGGGGGAGGAGGGCTGTTGACATAGGCATGGAGGCATGACGTGTGCCTAAATATTACAGCTTGATTTGTAGCTGTTTCAAAAAGTGCATTGGAATTTGACTTTTAATCACGAATTTAATTACGTTTGTTAACGACTGATGTGGTTATATAATGGGGTCAAACCCCTATACTGGAGTTTAAAACCCTGCCTTAGCCATGTTTGTAAACATGAAAAAAGAGGGACGTTTTATTAGTGTTGCATGTTTGTTAATCAATCTAAAAAGAACACAGGAGTGACATCACTTAGACACCAGCTCTTTGAAGTTCTCTTTTGGAACAGTCTGTAAAAGGATCTCTGTGTTTATAAGCAAGTCTTCTCCCCTTTGTGACGGTAAACACAATCCCAGCCAGCGTCCTACGTCCTCCTCTCTCTCTGTGTGTGGCCGAGCCTGCACCACACACTAGAAGCTGCCTGGCCTGCCCTCCTTAGAACAAGCGCACAGCTCTGACTCCTCGCCTGTTCAATGCCAGGGACCTTGATCACAGGGCACTCTGGGAATTCCAGCCCACCGTGTTTGACAGAGTAGGTCAAAGCTGGTGTTATCCACTGATACAGGGTCAGGTCTTTTTTTTTCCAGCCCTGGATCGGAGGTAGCTGGTTGGGTAATCTGATCCTAGATCTGTGGTTAAAGGTGATTTGTACCTCGACAGTGTTGACAGTTGCCCCTTGTGATAATGCAGTCCCAGTTCCCAACTTCTCACAGAGACCTGATTACTTGGCTTGGCTCCAGACAGCCTGTAAATCTGTAGATACACACTGTTTGACTGTTTCATCAAACCATATGGCATTTGTGTGTCAAATCCACCCCAACATGTACTCCAATCAACCTCTTCTTTGGTGAACTACAGGGATTTCACAGTCATCTTTCCACAACACGTCACAATCTATTTCATGGGATTTGACAGTGTTTATGCCTACTTTCCCAGTGATGAGATATTGTCTACCAGCCTGAATATTGCTTAACAGCCTGAATGACAGATTATGGAATGTTGTTGCTCAGGTCAATGATCTCTCGCCTAATCTGTTGAGAAACCTTTTTAAGTTTGTTTCACGATACGATTCACAAAGTACAGTAAGACCGTTACCAATGGACCAGTGGAGACAAAGATCTTAAGAGTCTCGTATGGAAAGGCTAAGAAGCGATGAAGCAGCAGTGTAATCTTCACTCAGTGAAATAATGGCTTCTGACTGCAGCTGAACACTTCTCATGAAACATGGTCTCTCCCATAGCTGCATCGTTGGGGAAAATCTGCCTTTTGACGTGGGAATGCAGGAGGCTTTGACTAACTGTGTGAAAGGACATACCTTACTACTTACAGGACATTTATCTCATCTTAGTTGTCATTTTGAAACTATGAATTGAGCTCTGGCTCTTCTGAATAGGTAATTATTTCTAAATTAGCAGATGGAGTAAAGCCACAGTCTAAATGTGCTGTCAAATCAGACACTTCTCAGTCAAATAGAATCTGACAATAGGAGTGATCCCATACTGAACAGAAATACGTTACGGAGAAACACATCTAATCTAAGTGATTGCTCTATTTCCCAGGGGTTTGATGGGAATGATGGGTACCCTGGTCCAGCTGGCGAGAGAGGAGAGAAGGTACGACTGATGAATGTAGACCTCTGATATCCTGTGTAGTGATTGTAAAAAAGGGCTTCTTGAATAACATGGGATTTAATTCGATTGAAACATTTTCTTTGACAGGGTGAGCCGGGTCTGAGCGGAACACATGGACCAAAGGTAAAGTTTGAGTCACGCTACTCCATTACTCCCCAACCTAGAAGTGACCCTAAAAACCACATCGGCTTTTAACCACTAATCAACCCAAATACAGCTGGTCCCCATATATGAAGCCAGGGATAATTACTGCTAATAAACAGAACCAAATAAATAGAAGACTGTATGCTCCAAAAACAACATCTAGCCCCTTCTCCATCAGTGTATGCAGATCTGAAGGAAAAGATTGGTCTAAGCTACTGTGATGCCTCCACCTAGCCTTCCAATGGGCTTAGTGGGAGTCTCCTCCATAATACTTAGACCAATCCAGTTCCTTCACATATGCAAACACAGGCGTTGTAATAATGTATGCTGCTTGAGGTGGTTTTTGGACTGAACCATTTGTGTTTCTCTCACAGGGGGAGCCAGGTGCTGCAGGGTTCCCAGGTCTGCCCGGCTCAGAGGGACCAGAGGGGAAGCCGGGCCTGAGGGGGCCCCCTGGGCTACCGGGACCCCCAGGACGGGGCTTCAGCTTGGACCTGGAGGTATGATTTCACTCAACTCAGCTGTCCTGTCTGTTAGAGGGTCATCAACACACTCTACATATGTTGCATTCTTATCTCACCCTCTCGCTTCGCCTCTACCTCTCTGCCAATGTGTATCACCCACCTTAGTGATGCCCGGCGGCCATTTTGTGCCCGATGGCTCATTACCAATCAATCAATCAATCAATTTTATTTTATATAGCCCTTCTTACATCAGCTAATATCTCGAAGTGCTGTACAGAAATCCAGTACCACACACCAGTTGTCATTGACTGTATGCTGTTTGCACGACACAAAGGGATCTGGGGAACTGGGTGGCTTTGGGGCAGTGATGCCCAGAAGTATTCAGGTTCGAACACAAAGAGTGGTTTTTTTATGGACCTGCTGGGACTTTTTTGCTCATAAGTATTATATTAATATGAAAATAAGTATGATTCATTTTTATCTGGTGCTTTCCACAGGGTCCTATTGAGATACCTGGCCCTCCAGGACCTAAGGTAGGTCTTCTATCACTGACATAGTGTCTTTACTCCATGTACCTATCAGGAAATGTTTTAACAATATCATGTCCCATCATTGAAATAAATTGACTATGCTAAACGCTAACTATGGGAGGCAGCTACTCTCGAAAACACACTTCAGCCTGACATCAAAGTCAACGTACACTTGCCGTCGGCTGTCTTTTCATGACCCTTGGATGTTCGCATGTATGTTAGACACAGTAGTCTGTATATGTTAGACACAGTAGTCTGTATATGCTAGACACAGTAGTCTGTATATGTTAGACACAGTAGTCTGTATATGCTAGACACAGTAGTCTGTATATGTTAGACACAGTAGTCTGTATATGCTAGACACAGTAGTCTGTATATGCTAGACACAGTAGTCTGTATATGCTAGAAACAGTAGTCTGTATATGCTAGAAACAGTAGTCTGTATATGTAGGGACAAACGTAGTTTTCTGTATATGTTAGACACCAGAGTCTGTATATGGTTTAACACAGTAGTCATGGTATATGTTAGGACACAGTAGTTCTGTATATGTTAGACACAGTAGTCCTGTATATGCTAGACACAGTAAGTCGTTATAGGCTAGACACAGTAGTAGTCTGTATATGCTCGACAACAGTAGTCCATATATGTTAGACACAGTAGTCTGTATATGTTAGACACATTAGATCTTATATGTTAGACACAGTAGTCTGTATACGTTAGACACAGTAGTCTGTATTGTTAACACTATCTGTAAATGTTAACCACAGTAGTCTGTATAATGCTAGAAACAGTAGTCTGTAGATGTTTAGACACAGTAGGCTGTAATATCTAGACACAGTAGTCTGTATATGCTAGAACAGTATTGTCTATGCTAGACACAGTAGTCTGGAGATGTTAACACAGTAGTCTGTAAATATCTAACACATAGTCTTATATGCTAGAAACATAGTCTGTAATGCTAAAACAGTAGTCTGTATATGTTAGACACAGTAATCCTTGGTGTGAAGTGTAACTCACTTGTTTCACCACTAAGTGTGGTAAAGACACACATCTCCTTATCTAGAAGGCCCCTTGTTGACTTTCTACTGCTCACCACTTAAAGTATCAATCATATGAATCATAGAATCAACCAAGTAATACAAGTGTATTGGATCATAGGATCGAAATCTTACAATATTTATAATGTGCTTCAAGTGGTCCTAGCTAACAATTAAATAATCTGTGGCATATGTGACCGTGAAGCTTTCACTGCACACAATATGCTGTAACTATGTTGGTATTGTAGTGAGTGTGCATGTTCTTGTGTTCATTTCTATTTGATAAATGCTGGTGGCACTACATGTTCTGTGTGTCAGAATATGTGGTTCCACATACCTGTAAAAGGTCCCCATACTGACGGCCATTTTGTTTCTCCACAGGGTGAAGACGGGCAGGACGGGCTTCCTGGTGTAGCGGTAAAGGTGGGTCCTCCTTACTCAACGGGTTCTATCCTCAGACAGGAAGTGCAGACTTCTTACTACCCCGCTAATTTCCAATGAATTCCTCTCTGACACACACAGGGAGGGCCAGAGATGGCCATCTTGCTTTTTAACCCTCTCAGGGACTGCATCCCCACCACCAGCAGTTCCCAAAGCACTAAGCATCTATGCCCTAGTGATATTCCCAACTGTAGATGTGATTTAGGAAAGAGTAATTTGCCTGCGATATTCTCATTAAGATAAAGAGGTTTTCAGAAGTCTCACTCATTGATGAGGTCTACTATTATAGTTACTCAGATGAGGTGGTTGGAATGGTTCCCCTATTTTGGGCTATGCTATGTGGGTGGGTCACTCACTGGCATCTAAAGGTGGTCTAAAACCATCCCCTCATCCATTTCCTCTGTGTTCCTCTAGGGGGAGCCTGGTGCTCCAGGAGCAGCCGGGGCCTCTGGGCTGGATGGACTGCCAGGGCATACGGTCAGTACTTTACCTACCTTTTACTGTCCAATTCAATCCCTCTCGTTTTTTTTTTGTTGCCTTTCCTTTCAAATGTGTTTTGATTTTATAGTATTCTAATCTGTCTTTATCTTCTATACAGTTGCTGCTGTAGGTTCATCATAAAACGGTCTCAGGTCTCAGTTCTGTTTTGTCATGATAGTGTTTGCCCTTTCTTCCATGCAGGGAGCGAAGGGGGACCAAGGTGACATGGGACCAAAGGTACAGTATCACTCCTCCTGACTCCATACATGTTCATCTTTTATGAGACCGTCTATTTCTGCTGGCCTTCTGGAGCCAATCAGGCTGGCCCTGTTCTTGGTTCATCTAACCCTGTGTTCTGTTGTGTGTGTGTGTGTGTGTGTGTGTGTCAGGGAGAGAGAGGTCGGGACGGCCTCAGTTTCCCTGGCCCTACAGGACCTCCTGGGCCTTCGGGACCAGTTATCAACCTCCAGGATGTAAGTGGATGTTATAAAGTAATCAGTGGCGGCTCCTGAAAAAATTCTCAGGGGGGGCAATTTTTCTGATGATTTAGGTGACCTACACACATTTTAAAAAAGATATGTCCAGCAACAACATGAAGACAGGGGCAGCATATAAGTCAATACCAGAAGCATTTATTGACTGATCTCAAAAGTGTTGGCTTACAAAAGCAAAATAAGTTATCACAGTAAAAATAATCAAGGGTGTTCTTTCACATTCCTCAACACTGCATAAACAATATGCATTTCCATAAAACACCTCAGCTAATTGTGCCACAAAGTTGACAAGTCCAAGAAAAATACCAGGGTTGGTGGAGCCCTCAGTTTCATCTTTGCCTCGCAAAGCTAACTCAAACACTCCGCAAAACTTCACACACTGGATTAGCCGGCTGAGGATGTGGCGGTTCTTGCTAACCTCATCGTTGTGGCGGCGGACAGCTAGCCTGTATCCCTCATCCAGTTGAGTGGCAATGTTCACTCTCCCCAAAGCAGACAATCTCAAACAGCTATCCATGTGGGTCTTTGACAGCTCATGTTTCTTAATCTTTTCTGAAAGATGGTGCATGTTCGTTACACCAGTCGCTGTCCAAGCGGTGCTGTCTGCCGTGCCGCCTTCAGGGTGAAAGAGTAAGCAGGGGTAGCAGAAGACTGCATTAGCTACATCGCAGCCTGCTAGCCAGGTTTTTCGTTCGTACCAATTTTTGGAAAATCCTCGGGTGTAGGACTTTCCCCCTTTAGTAGAAACCTGTTGAATTATTAAATTTGGTCTGGGAGGTCCTAATTGTTTCGTTGCCAATTTATCTTGATTTGTTCGCCGACAAAAAGGAACTTCTTTCAAAGAGACAATCGAGTTGCACTGAACGCTAGCCATCTTGACAGTAGTACGTGAATTGATTGACGCTGCTACCCGCTCTTTTCTTAGTTACGTTCATGGTTATGTTACGTATGACGAAAGCGCGTAAGTGCAAGCCCTCCCGGAACCCATAGAGATTGTATTGAAAGCTCTGATATTTGAAAAAAATAGATTTTACATGAGAGTCTATGAGAGACTTCTGGGGCGATTTTCAACCTGACTGAAATCGCCCCAAAAGGGGCGGGGCCATTTGAAGCACGACTTTAGCCTGATTGGACATTTAGTGGCAGATCAGACGTCTAGATTAGAACACTGATAACTACTGTTGCCGTGATATAATTGATTAGAAAAAAAATCCCTTCCTTTTCCCGTTTGACAGTGCGTCGCCCATATCGCCCTAATGAACACACCGCCCCTGAAAGTAATTACAAGTTATTAAAGAGCAATTACAAGTTATTAAAGAGCAATTACAAGTTATTAAAGAGCAATTACAAGTTATTAAAGAGCAATTACAAGTTATTAACGACATTGTTATCACCCCTACTGATGAGCTCAGATAGGATAAGTTTTAATGTGGATGTTGATGGTGATGTCACTGCCTCTCCTCTCTGTTGATGGTGATGTCACTTCCTCTCCTCTCTGTTGATGGTGATGTCACTTCCTCTCCTCTCTGTTGATGGTGATGTCACTTCCTCTCCTCTCTGTTGATGGTGATGTCACTGCCTCTCCTCTCTGTTGATGGTGATGTCACTGCCTCTCCTCTCTGTTGATGGTGATGTCACTGCCTCTCCTCTCTGTTGATGGTGATGTCACTGCCTCTCCTCTCTGTTGATGGTGATGTCACTGCCTCTCCTCTCTGTTGATGGTGATGTCACTTCCTCTCCTCTCTGTTGATGGTGATGTCACTTCCTCTCCTCTCTGTTGATGGTGATGTCACTTCCTCTCCTCTCTGTTGATGGTGATGTCACTTCCTCTCCTCTCTGTCCCCCCCCCCAGCTCCTGCTCAACAATACAGAGGGTGTGTTTAACTTCTCAGGGCTGCTGGAATCTCAGGGGCCCAGGGTGAGTAGACTTAGGCTTGAGGTGTGTGTGTGTGTGTGTGTGTGTGTGTGTGTGTGTCCACGCGTGTGTGTGTGTGTGTGTGTGTCAGTGCATTCGTGTTTGTCACAGTAATATCCCTCTCTATCTCCTTCAACAGTGACACAAAGCAGTGTGACTGATATGGAGGTTAATTCTACAGTCTGTAGGTCATTTTGTTGGATTCATTTGGATCATGACCGTTTGACAATGCCTTGAAACAGACTATTGTTTTTTGTATGTATTTGTATGTCAATAATTCATACGATAGTAAAACAAATCAGATTTTCTCTCTTACTGCTCAGAGGATCTGTTGGTAGGTTACCATGGTATTATGTCTGTCCTTTCTCTATTGCAAAATATACAGTATGCGACCCACACTTTTGGGATGAACTTGACAGTGCACACTTTATACAGTGCAGTCGGACAGACACTTACTGATAGGAGAGAGATACTGTGGTAGTCGATCAGGGTTCTCAAATACTATTCGAGAAGGTCCAGTCACACACATTTCCAAGGTGGCAAATGTCCGGATGGATATTCTCCCCATTATGCCATGGAGCGAAGGGAAAATGTAGCAGTTTTAAAGCTAATTTCCTGCAATTCTACAAATGTGCCATGTCTTATGTGTGTTCATATGATAGCAGGAGTCTAATCCTGACCGAATTCCTGAGAAAAAAAAATATTGACCGGTTCGTATTGACTCCATTCTTGGGTCCGGATCCGGCCTGCTGTCCGCCTATGATTATGGCTGTTGTAGATGTTCTAGTTGATTGATTTAATTTGGTTATTTACCTATGACATTCCCAGGGGCCGCGTGGTCCAAAGGGGGACTTGGGGATTCCAGGGAGCATAGGGCCTCCAGGTTTAAAGGTAAGCGTGTGTGTGTGTGTGTGTGTTACGTGTCTTGGTTTTCGGTTTAAAGGCATAGTTCTAGATTTTGGCAATTAAGCACTTTTTCTACTTACCAGAATCAGATGAACTCATGGATACCATTTTTGTGTCTCTGCATGCAGTTTGAAAGAAGTTGCTCACTAACGTTAGCGCAATGACAACGTCTACAGCAACAGCTTCCAGTCACTGCGCTAACGCTAGTTAGCAATGGCTCACAAAACTACCTTCAACTTCCTTCAAACTGCACGCGGAGACATACAAATGGTATCCATGAGTTCATCTGACTCTGGGTAAGTAGAAAAATTGCGCATCTCTTTAAGAATTCCACTTGGGTCCCCATGTGAAAAGGATACCACTGAAGAGTTGGGCGGCAGGTAGCTTAGTGGTTAAGAGCGTTGTGCCAGTAACCGAAATGTCACTGGTTCTAATCCTGAGCCGACTAGGTGAAAAAATCTGTCAATGTGCCCTTGAGCAAGGCACTTAACCCTAATTGCTCCTGTAAGTGGCTCTGGATAAGAGTGTCTGCTAAATGACTCAAAAAATTGGTGCTTGCAACGCCAGGGTTGTGGGTTCGATTCCCACGGGGGACAAGTACGAAAATGTACGTGCTCACTAGTGTAAGTCGCTCTGAATAAGAGCGTCTGCTAAATTACTAAAATGTAATAACACTATGTGGCATTTTCTGCACATCTAATATACAGGCTCAAAGGCCTTTTGGGTTTAGATCAATTCAAAGTGTGGGAAACTGAACACCAGTGCTTATGATTAAAGCTGGGACCCTGGTAGCTGCACTCAGGGCGTTGATGTGTAAAAGCCTGCTAATGTGTTCCAGACTGTGCAGCCATAGAAAATATGCTTCATTCCAGGTCAATGGAACAACATGAATGAGATTATTATCCAATGTTTTCCTTTCTCTGAGAGGGGCTCAAGGTGCTTCAACATGCATGTGGTGCACATTACCCCTGGGTTTGTGTGTGTGTGTTGGGGGGGGAGGGGGTTGTACTCATGTGTCTACAGTATGTATGTTTGTCATTTGACTGAAAGTGTCTGTATGTATATCGTCTTATTGCGCGCCTGTGTTTGCAGGGCGAGAATGGTGAGCCAGGGGTCATGGTTGCAGCAGATGGGTCCATGATGTCTGGACTCACAGGGCCACAGGGGCCCAAAGGGATCAAGGTTAGTCTTACACACGCACACACACACACACTACTTCCTGGGTCAAAGTTCGACAGTTGTGTCAGACACTCACTTTGTGTCTTCACTCTTTCGCAGGGCGATTGTGGTATTCCTGGACCAGCCGGAGTTATGGTAACACTTTATTGGCTTCTTTATCCGATACTAACCCTTTGTAGTAACTTCCACCTCTTCTCCTGTTGTGTTGCAGCAGCTGCTTTCATTCAAAGTGTTTGTTTTTGGGACCTTTTCATCAGGCCGAGTGCCTACTCACAAACAGGCCTGCCTCTAGGCCCCCTGTCCAGACAGAGCATATTTTCGGGCAATGTATCTTCATCAGGATGTATCTTCATCAGGCTGTATCTTCATCAGGATGTATCTTTATCAGCACCTGCACCTGCTGAGGGGTGAAATACAAAGGGAAACAGTGCTGTTTTTGTTTTTGTTTTGTTTTTTACAGGGTCCCATTGGGCAGGAAGGACCCAAAGGGGAATATGGCTATCCTGGGCGTCCGGTAAGTACCTCACATTATGATTTGAGATGTTCTTTTGACATTGTAGGCTACAAACGATAACAATGGCAGTGAGAATTATTTATTCACATATAGTGTATTTTCAAACCCAAGAGCACTCCCTTGGGTTACACAAATACAGAACACCACAGAGTGTGATCATATTGCCATCGCTCCATTGGTGAAGTGGTTTGCCTCTCGCTACAGGGTCGTCCTGGAATATTGGGGCGTAAAGGAGACAGAGGAGACGCTGTGGGTGTGTCGGTGAGTTGAACTCTTCTATCCTCCCTCTTTAGATGGGTCACGGTCAAAAAGGTTTGAGAACCACTTCACTAGGGCCCCCTAGCCAGAGCCGAACGGTACTGCAGCCATCTGAAGATGGCACCCCCTAGCCAGAGCCGAACGGCACTGCAGCCATCTGATGGTGGGCACCCCCATCCAGAGCCAAGACGCACTTGCAGCCATCTGATTGTGGCGCCCCCTAGCCAGGCCGACTGTACTGCAGCCATCTGATGGTGGCGCCCACTAGCCAGAGCCGAACGGTACTACAGCCATCTGATAGTGGCGCCCCCTAGCCAGAGCCGAACGGTACTGCAGCCATCTGATGGTGGCGCCCCCTAGCCAGAGCCGAACGGTACTGCAGCCATCTGATGGTGGCGCCCACTAGCCACAGCCGAACGGTACTGCAGCCATCTGATGGTGGCGCCCCCTAGCCAGACACCGACGCACTGCAGCCATCTGATGGTGGCGCCCCCTAGCCAGAGCCGAACGGTACTGCAGCCATCTGAAGATGGCACCCCCTAGCCAGAGCCGAACGGTACTGCATCTGTTTGGTGCCTTGCCACTTTCCATTCCTTTCCATTCCAACTCGGCCACCACCAGATATTAAACCTAGACCACACATGGCCTGAACAGCATGGTTGACAGTCTGTCACCCACTCACCACGCAGCTGTCACCCACTCACCACACAGCTGTCACCCACTCACCACGCAGCTGTCACCCACTCACCACGCAGCTATCACCCACTCACCACACAGCTGTCACCCACTCACCACGCAGCTGTCACCCACTCACCACGCAGCTATCACCCACTCACCACGCAGCTGTCACCCACTCACCACGCAGCTGTCACTGACTCACCACGCAGCTGTCACCCACTCACCACGCAGCTGTCACCCACTCACTCACCACGCACCCACCCACTCACCACGCAGCTGTCACCCACTCACCACGCAGCTGTCACCCACTCACCACGCAGCTGTCACCCACTCACTCACCACGCACCCACCCACTCACCACGCAGCTGTCACCCACTCACCACGCAGCTGTCACCCACTCACCATGCAGCTGTCACCGACTCACCACGCAGTTGCGTCTCAAAGCCAGCTGGTGAAGATGCCGGTCAACATGTTGGCATCGCGGTTAGTCGTTTAACAGCATACCTATGCCAGGCCCATGCCCAAACAACCCCAACATATGATGAAAACAACCAGCTAATTTATCGACGGGCTCTTGAAAGCACCCCATAAATAAATAGCTTTTGTTGAAGTTTAATAAGACAGCTTTCCTCAACATGTGTCAGAGGTCCCTGGTCCTACCTCAGTGTTCCATGATGATTACTTCCCTGGTCCTACCTCAGTGTTCCATGATGATTACTTCCCTGGCCCTACCTCAGTGTTCCATGATGATTACTTCCCTGGTCCTACCTCAGTGTTCCATGATGATTACTTCCCTGGCCCTACCTCAGTGTTACATGATGATTACTTCCCTGGCCTACCTCAGTGTGATGATTACTTCCCTGGTCCTACCTCACTGTGACATGATGATTACTTCCCTGGCCCTACCTCAGTGTGATGATTACTTCCCTGGTCCTACCTCAGTGTTCCATGATGATTACTTCCCTGGCCCTACCTCACTGTGATAATTACTTCCCTGGCCCTACCTCAGTGTTCCATGATGATTACTTCCCTGGCCCTACCTCAGTGTTCCATGATGATTACTTCCCTGGCCCTACCTCAGTGTGATGATTACTTCCTTGGCCCTACCTCAGTGTTCCATGATGATTACTTCCCTGGACCTACCTCCGTGTGATGATTACTTCCCTGGCCCTACCTCAGTGTTCCATGATGATTACTTCCCTGGCCCTACCTCAGTGTGATGATTACTTCCCTGGTCCTACCTCACTGTGACATGATGATTACTTCCCTGGCCCTACCTCACTGTGACATGATGATTACTTCCCTGGCCCTACCTCAGTGTGATGATTACTTCCCTGGTCCTACCTCACTGTGACATGATGACTACTTCCCTGGCCCTACCTCAGTGTGATTACTTCCCTGGCCCTACCTCACTGTGATGATTACTTCCCTGGCCCTACCTCACTGTGATGATTACTTCCCTGGCCCTACCTCAGTGTGATGATTACTTCCCTGGCCCTACCTCAGTGTGATGATTACTTCCCTGGTCCTACCTCAGTGTTCCATGATGATTACTTCCCTGGCCCTACCTCACTGTGATAATTACTTCCCTGGCCCTACCTCATTGTTCCATGATGATTACTTCCCTGGCCCTACCTCAGTGTTCCATGATGATTACTTCCCTGGCCCTACCTCAGTGTGATGATTACTTCCCTTGCCCTACCTCAGTGTTCCATGATGATTACTTCCCTGGACCTACCTCAGTGTGATGATTACTTCCCTGGCCCTACCTCAGTGTTCCATGATGATTACTTCCCTGGCCCTACCTCAGTGTGATGATTACTTCCCTGGTCCTACCTCACTGTGAAATGATGATTACTTCCCTGGCCCTACCTCACTGTGACATGATGATTACTTCCCTGGCCCTACCTCAGTGTGATGATTACTTCCCTGGTCCTACCTCACTGTGACATGATGACTACTTCCCTGGTCCTACCTCAGTGTGATGATTACTTCCCTGGCCCTACCTCACTGTGATGATTACTTCCCTGGCCCTACCTCACTGTGATGATTACTTCCCTGGCCCTACCTCAGTGTTCCGTGATGATTACTTCCCTGGCCCTACCTCAGTGTTCCATGATGATTACTTCCCTGGCCTACCTCAGTGTTCCATGATCATTACTTCCCTGGCCCTACCTCAGTGTTCTATGATAATTACTTCCCTGGTCCTACCTCAGTGTTCCATGATGATTACTTCCCTGGCCCTACCTCAGTGTGATGATTACTTCCCTGGCCCTACCTCAGTGTTCCATGATGATTACTTCCCTGGCCCTACCTCAGTGTTCCATGATGATTACTTCCCTGGTCCTACCTCAGTGTTCCATGATGATTACTTCCCTGGCCCTACCTCACTGTGATGATTACTTCCCTGGCCCTACCTCACTGTGATGATTACTTCCCTGGAGACTAACTCAGTGTGAATGATTACTTCCCTGGCCTTACCTCACTGTTCCATGATGATTACTTCCCTGGCCCTTACCCAGGTTCAATGATGATTACTTCCCTGGCCCTACTCAGTGTTCCATGATGATTACTTCCCGGCCTTACTCCAGTGATGATTACTTCCTGGCCCTACCTCAGTGTTCCATGATGATTACCTTCCCTGGCCCTACTCAGTGTTCAATGATGATACTTCCTGTCCTACCTCAGGGTTCAATGTGATTTACTTCCCTGGCCTTACCTCCATGTGATGATTACTTCCCTGGCCCTACCTCACAGTGATGATTACTTCCCTGGCCCTACCTCACAGTGATGATTACTTCCCTGGCCCTACCTCCGTGTGATAATTACTTCCCTGGCCCTACCTCCATTGATAATTACTTCCCTGGTCCTACCTCACTGTGATGATAACTTCCAGTGAAGCAACAATATGTTGGTTGTTTAAGGTCTGTCTGTGACCTCACTGGCTGACCAGTTTGAACCAAACCTAGCATACTTGTGGTCATATCTGAAGTCCGTGTGTGCAGATCAAGGGTTGTTTCACTATGAAGGTTTGTGGATGAGTGATTCAGGACCTTGATCACTCAAAAGTGGAATGGACTTCTGAACCAGCATGTTGCCCATTCAACTCTAATGGACTACTGAACCAGCATGTTGCCCATTCAACTCTAATGGACTACTGAACCAGCATGCTGCCCATTCAACTCTAATGGACTTCTGAACCAGCATGCTGCCCATTCAACTCTATTGGACTTCTGAACCAGCATGCTGCCAATTCAACTCTATTGGACTTCTGAACCAGCATGTTGCCCATTCAACTCTAATGGACTACTGAACCAGCATGCTGCCCATTCAACTCTAATGGACTTCTGAACCAGCATGCTGCCCATTCAACTCTATTGGACTTCTGAACCAGCATGCTGCCAATTCAACTCTATTGGACTTCTGAACCAGCATGCTGCCAATTCAACTCTATTGGACTTCTGAACCAGCATGTTGCCCATTCAACTCTAATGGACTTCTGAACCAGCATGTTGCCCATTCAACTCTAATGGACTTCTGAACCAGCAAGTTGCCCATTCAACTCTAATGGACTTCTGAACCAGCATGTTGCCCATTCAACTCTAATGGACTTCTGAACCAGCATGTTGCCCATTCAACTCTAATGGACTTCTGAACCAGCATGTTGCCCATTCAACTCTAATGGACTTCTGAACCAGCATGTTGCCCATTCAACTCTAATGGACTTCTGAACCAGCATGTTGCCCGTTCAACTCTAATGGACTTCTGAACCAGCATGCTGCCCGTTCAACTCTAATGGACTACTGAACCAGCATGTTGCCCATTCAACTCTAATGGACTTCTGAACCAGCATGCTGCCCATTCAACTCTATTGGACTTCTGAACCAGCATGCTGCCCATTCAACTCTATTGGACTTCTGAACCAGCATGTTGCCAATTCAACTCTAATGGACTTCTGAACCAGCATGTTGCCCATTCAACTCTAATGGACTTCTGAACCAGCATGTTGCCCATTCAACTCTAATGGACTTCTGAACCAGCATGTTGCCCATTCAACTCTAATGGACTTCTGAACCAGCATGTTGCCCGTTCAACTCTAATGGACTACTGAACCAGCATGCTGCCCGTTCAACTCTAATGGACTTCTGAACCAGCATGCTGCCCGTTCAACTCTAATGGACTTCTGAACCAGCATGCTGCCCATTCAACTCTAATGGACTTCTGAACCAGCATGCTGCCCATTCAACTCTAATGGACTTCTGAACCAGCATGCTGCCCATTCAACTCTAATGGACTTCTGAACCAGCATGTTGCCCGTTCAACTCTAATGGACTTCTGAACCAGCATGTTGCCCATTCAACTCTATTGGACTTCTGAACCAGCATGTTGCCCATTCAACTCTATTGGACTTCTGAACCAGCATGTTGCCCATTCAACTCTAATGGACTTCTGAACCAGCATGTTGCCCATTCAACTCTAATGGACTTCTGAACCAGCATGCTGCCCATTCAACTCTAATGGACTTCTGAACCAGCATGTTGCCCATTCAACTCTAATGGACTTCTGAACCAGCAAGTTGCCCATTCAACTCTAATGGACTTCTGAACCAGCATGTTGCCCATTCAACTCTAATGGACTTCTGAACCAGCATGCTGCCCATTCAACTCTAATGGACTTCTGAACCAGCATGCTGCCCATTCAACTCTAATGGACTTCTGAACCAGCATGTTGCCCATTCAACTCTAATGGACTTCTGAACCAGCAAGTTGCCCATTCAACTCTAATGGACTTCTGAACCAGCATGCTGCCCATTCAACTCTAATGGACTTCTGAACCAGCATGTTGCCCATTCAACTCTGATGGTGATCCTAATATTTTCCTCTCTGTCGTTCTCCCTCTCTAATATTTTCCTCTCTGTCGTTCTCCCTCTCTGTTCTCAGGGACCCCCTGGCCCTCCCGGACCCCCGGGACGTCCCGGAATGTTCAACTGCCCCAAAGGAGTAAGTATGAACCCCCCCCCCTTTTCAGTAAAGGTTCAAATCCAGGTCTTGTGACATGTTTGTGACTTGGGAGGCCAAATAAAATCACCCTCGGGCCAAATTCTGGGACCCTGCCCAACTCCCTTCCTATATCCATGTTTGTCCATGTCATTTGTAGCTCACTGTCCCCTTCTTTCGTTTTTTGAAGACAGTTTTTCCCGTCCCTCCCAGACCGCACTGCAAAAAGGCCGTAAGTGACTGACAGACATTGCAGCTCTGGGCAGGCTGAGCTCAGGCCTGTCTGTCTGTCTGTCTGTCTGTCTGTGTGGGGCATTTTTTCCTCTCTCTCTCACACACACACACACACACACACACACACACTGTATTTGTCTCTCTCTCGCTCTGCCTTAGCCACTTGTTCACTCTGTGGTGTATTCGTCACTTCTCCATCGTAAAAGGGGAATGTGCATGTTGCATCCATGGTCCCTAACCTATTCCAGGTGAGAACAGAGGATCTCTCCTAGCATGCTGCATGTTTTCTCTTCCATAGGGGTTGGTCTTCATGGGGAAGACACTAACACAATTGAGGATGGTCCCCAAGACTGAATATTACATTATAATATATTTTATTTTGACTTGCTGAGAGCAGATTTACTTGTGTCTAAAGCAATTGATGTTAACAGTTTCTATTGAGGTCTGTCTTTAACTGGTATTTGGTGAAACACTGTCATTTTCAATTATATCCATTCAGATTATATAACCATGTAATTGTTTTGTAAATACCAGGTTAATAGTGTTCTAAAATACAACATAACCAAATGAATGTACTTACTATGTAAGGTCTTTCAGAAATTAGATAAGCCAAACGTGATTTGTCTTTCCTGTCTTTCATGGGGTCTTTATCCACGGTGCTGGTGGTTACTGCCACGTTTCACCCTTCTTACCCTCCATTTTGTTACAGATACATTAACTCATTCACTGTGACCTCTGAATCTGTGAATGTATCATCACAACATATTATAACATATTATATCTATCATATTGTATTAGTTGGTCTGAAATGCATGATGTGAAGTTTCCAAACAGTCACATCACTGTTCCTTCCATACGCCCTGTTCTTGTTTCTGTTCAGGAAGTCCAATAGCTCTCATGTCTTTTAAACATGTTTGTTTCACTTTGGCAGATAAATGGTTCTGAGAATTCAACAAATGGTGAGTTGAAGGACTTTCTGGATGTGACATCACATGACCTGTTATTTGTTTGTTGACATGGAAGCGTCTATTGGTCACTTTATGGTAAGTACTAATATTACACACAACATAAGATTTCCGAGACTGATGTCGGAGACCTGCTGCATCAAATACAACATATAAAATAGCAAATACACGACATAACGTTCAACATTGTCTGTCGTTATTTTGTTGCGAGGTCTTCTCTTTCATGACTGCCTAATGCTTAACTGTTGTTCCTTATCTGACCTGTAGGGGGGGCTGACTGTCTTCCATCTGGGACCAAAGGGGACAAGGGGGAGAGGGGCTTCCCTGGGATGCCTGCCCCGCCACGTGAGTCATATTGGATGGATGGATGGATGGATGGATGGATGGATGGATGGATGGATGGATGGATGGATGGATGGATGGATTGATGGATCACTGTTTACCTAACAGCATTATTTTGTTCTGTTTTTGATATAAATAATGGATATTGTAATCTGTCATAATGACACACAGGCATTATTCATGTAGACAGGTTATTATCTTTAATAATCAATGGATGTTGTGTTTTTCCTACAGTCACAATGCTTCCCAAAGGAACTATGGTAAGTTGAGTAGGTGGCGTGTGTGTGTGTGTGCGTGCGTGCGTGCGTGTGTGTGTGCTTACCTCTCACAGTTTGTGTGTCTGTCTGTCCACAGGGCAATAAAGGGGACCAGGGCTTCACGGGGGAGAAGGGGGAGGCCGGGTTACCGGGCCCACCTGGTATGCCTGGGACATCTGGAATGGTGGTGAGTCTCATTCCCATGGAGACCACATGCTCCCGAAGCCAAGCCCGCCCACCACAGCTTTGACCAATTACACTTACAGAGAAGGTCACCATACAACAGACACATGAGATAGTACATAATCAGTGTCATCTTAATTTGAGGGCGTTATTACAGTCCCTGACCTCTTTCGATGGTGTGCTAGATAGCCAAAGAATGTTTGGTTGGTTTCAGTTGAGCTTAATTGCTGCACGAGAGGATTTACGTCTGAAATTAGGCATTTTGGTTGTGTGAGTAGTGAGGATTTCGATTTTTTGGCCGCGGTGGCAAAATACTGAATTTACATTAAAGGGAATACAAGTCGTGTACAATTGTTTTCAAATTCTTTCAAATTCAGATGCCGCATGAAACAATAGGTGATATTTCCTACTTGCTGCATTTAAATAAACCACAAAGAGTCACGGGGTTCAATAAGTCACTATGTTCTATGAACATTAATTACACGTACAATTACTGGAGATGAAGCACTGGGTTTGTTTCAGGGCCCTAAAGGAGAAACTGTTATGGGGCCCCCTGGCCATCCAGGCGTTCCGGGGTCTCCTGGTACTCCAGGGTATGGGAGACCTGGCCCCCAAGGGCCTCCCGGAACCCCCGGAGCACCCTCTCCAGGTAAGATTTGTGGCACCCTTTGTGAAATTTGCTGTATGGTGTAATATGCTGACTAGCTTCGCATAATAAAATATTACCGTTGTTTGTCTCCCATTTCTGTAATTCCAGCTGTGACCATCCCTGGGCCTCCAGGCCCCACTGGCCCGGCTGGACCTCCTGGGGCCTCTGCCGTGGTGAGTCAGTCCTCCGTTATGCCGTCACTTATCCGCCCCGTCACGTCATAATGTCATCCCGTCATACCATCAATTGTCAATCCTGTTACATCATTTACATTTTTAGTCATTTTAGCAGACACTCTTATCCAGAGCTACTTACAGGAGCAATTAGGGTTAAGTGCCTTGCTCAAGGGCACACCGACAGATTTTTCACCTAGTTGGCTCGGGATTAGAACCAGCAACCTTTCGCTGGCACAACGCTCTTAACCACTAAACTACCTGCCGCCCCTTACGTCATGTCATCCCTGTTACGTAATCACACGTCAGCTCCGTCATCAAATAACCGCAGACACACTAGAGATAAAATGACTGTCCTCTCCTCAATCACTCTGGCCAGTGTCTCCCAAACAATTACAGTGTTATAAACGGTGATAGATATTTCCTTCCAGTCTCAAAAGGTGCTTCTCTCCTCTGTTTTCCTTTAGATGGAGACGTTTCCTTCCAGCGAGGTCATGATGCAACGGACGATGAACAGCAGAGAGGGGACCCTGAGCTTCATCACCACGGGGACAGGCAAACTCTACATCCGGGTGCAAGAGGGATGGAAGGAGGTCCTGGTACAGTAGCATTTCTGGTCCCTCTACTCCAGTGTCTCTGGTCCCTCTCCTCATGTGTCTCTGGTCCCTCTCCTCCTGTGTCTCTGGTCCCTCTCCTCCTGTGTCTCTGGTCCCTCTCCTCATGTGTCTCTGGTCCCTCTCCTCTTTTGTCTCTGGTCCTCCTCCTCCTGTTCTCTGGTCCTTCCTCCTGTGTCTCTGGTCCCTCCCTCTATGTGTCTCTGGTCCCTTTCCTCCTGTGTCTCTGGTCCCTCTCCTCTATGTGTCTCTGGTCCCTCTCCTCCTGTGTCTCTGGTCCCTCTCCTCTATGTGTCTCTGGTCCCTTTCCTCCTGTGTCTCTGGTCCCTCTCCTCTATGTGTCTCTGTCCTCTCCTCTAGTGTCTCTGGTCCCTTCCTCCTGTGTCTCTGGTCCCTCTCCTCCTGTGTCTCTGGTCCCTCTCCTCATGTGTCTCTGGTCCCTTTCCTCTCCTGTTCTCTGTCTTGGTCCCTCTCCTCATGTGTCTCTGGTCCCTTCCTCCATGTGTCTCTGGTCCCTTCCTCCTGTGTCTCTGGTCCCTCTCCTCTATGTCTCTGGTCCCTCCTCCGTCTTGTTCCTCTGGTGCCCTTCCTCCTGTGTCTCTGGTCCCTCTCCTCCTGTGTCTCTGGTCCCTTCTTCCTCTCCTGTGTCTCTGGTCCCTCTCCTCTATGTGTCTCTGGTCCCTCTCCTCCTTGTGTCTCTGGTCCCTTTCCTCCTGTGTCTCTGGTCCCTCTCCTCTGTGTCTCTGGTCCCTCTCCTCTTGTGTCTCTGGTCCCTCTCCTCTAGTGTCTCTGGTCCCTTCCTCCTGTGTCTCTGGTCCCTCTCCTCCTGTGTCTCTGGTCCCTCTCCTCCTGTGTCTCTGGTCCCTCTCTGTTCTGGTCCCTTCCTCTGTGTCTCTGGTCCCTCTCCTCTGTGTCTCTGGTCCCTCTCCTCCATGTGTCTCTGGTCCCTCTCCTCCTGTGTCTCTGGTCCCTCTCCTCCTGTGTCTCTGGTCCCTCTCCTCCTGTGTCTCTGGTCCCTCTCCTCCTGTGTCTCTGGTCCCTCTCCTCCTGTGTCTCTGGTCCCTCTCCTCTATGTGTCTCTGGTCCCTCTCCTCCTGTGTCTCTGGTCCCTCTCCTCTGTTTGTCTCCTGTGTCTCCTGGTCCCTCCTGTGTCTCTGGTCCCTCTCCTCTGTGTCTCTGGTCCCTTCCTCCTGTGTCTCTGGTCCTTCCTCTTGTCTCTGGTCCTTCTGTGTCTCTGGTCCCTCTCCTCATGTGTCTCTGGTCCCTCTCCTCTTGTGTCTCTGGTCCCTCTCCTCCTGTGTCTCTGGTCCCTTCCTCTGTGTCTCTGGTCCCTCTCCTCTGTGTCTCTGGTCCCTCTCCTCTGTGTCTCTGTCCTCCTTGTGCTCTGGTCCCTCTCCTCCTTGTCTCTGGTCCCTCTCCTCCTGTGTCTCTGGTCCCTCTCCTCTATGTGTCTCTGGTCCCTCTCCTCCATGTGTCTCTGGTCCCTCTCCTCTAGTGTCTGCCTCTCCTGGTCCCTCTCCTCTTGTCTCTGGTCCCTCTCCTCCTGTGTTCTCTGGTCCCTCTCCTCTGTGTCTCTGGTCCCTCTCCTCCTGTCTCTGGTCCCTCTCCTCTGTGTCTCTGGTCCTCTCTCCTGTGTCTCTGGTCCCTCTCCTTATGTGTCTCTGGTCCCTACTCCTATGTGTCTCTGGTCCTTCCTCCTGTGTCTCTGGTCCTCTCCTCTGTGTCTACTGGTCCTCTCCCATGTGTCTTGGTCCCTCTCCCTGGTCCTGGTCCCTCTCCCTGTGTCTTGGTCCTTTTCTCGTCCTGGTTTCCGTGTCTCTGTCCTCTCTCCATTGATCATGTGTTCTTGGTCCTGTACTCTATTTAGGTCCTTATGCTGTTCTCTGGTCCTGTTTCCTTGGTAACTTGTCCCTACTCCATGGTCAATATGGTCGTTTTCCCCCTAGGCTAGCAGGCAACCGCCAGAAGATATGGGGTACGTTTGTTGACAAAAGGACAAGATTGACTAAGCGTTTGCGCCTGTGCAAAGTTAGCTGTTGTTATTTCATAGTGGAACAATAACGTTTTTTAAAACCTTCTTTATTTACTAACTTTGCACGGGAGCCAAGAAACAGTCAATCAAAATACATTATTTAAACTGTCTGCTTCCTAGTTAGTAGCTAGACAACTTATAGATACAAAAATAAGAGTAGAGTGGATAGAGTGGAAAAAGTTTGAAATTGAACCTTAAGCCAAACCAAGTCTGGCCACAAAATGAGCTGGAGTCAAAATGGGATTTAGCAGTGGTTAAGGGAATTCCACTTTTAGACTAAATTACTATCCGTGTGCTGTCATTGAAGGACAGCCCTAGGCAGGCCAGGTTTGGGTTTTAGAGATTTAGATTTCACATTTCACAGTAGCTGACAGTCCATGCTGTACCAGTAGCTGACAGTCCGTTCTGTACCAGTAGCAGACAGTCCGTTCTGTACCAGTAGCTGACAGTCCATTCTGTACCAGTAGCTGACAGTCCATTCTGTACCAGTAGCTGACAGTCCGTTCTGTACCAGTAGCTGACAGGCCATTCTGTACCAGTAGCTGACAGTCCATTCTGTACCAGTAGCTGCCAGTCCATTCTGTACCAGTAGCTGACAGTCCGTTCTGTACAGTAGCTGACAGTCCATTCTGTACCAGTAGCTGACAGTCCATTCTGTACCAGTAGCTGACAGTCCATTCTGTACCAGTAGCTGACAGTCCGTTCTGTACCAGTAGCTGACAGTCCGTTCTGTACCAGTAGCTGACAGTCCATTCTGTACCAGTAGCTGACAGTCCGTTCTGTACCAGTAGCTGACAGTCCGTTCTGTACCAGCAGGTGACAGGCCATTCTGTACCAGTAGCTGACAGTCCGTTCTGTACCAGCAGCTGACAGTCCATTCTGTACCAGTAGCTGCCAGTCCATTCTATACCAGTAGCAGACAGTCCATTCTGTACCAGTAGCTGACAGTCCGTTCTGTACCAGTAGCAGACAGTCCATTCTGTACCAGTAGCTGACAGTCCATTCTGTACCAGTAGCAGACAGTCCATTCTGTACCAGTAGCAGACAGTCCATTCTGTACCAGTAGCTGACAGTCCGTTCTTTACCAGTAGCTGACAGTCCGTTCTGTACCAGTAGCAGACAGTCCGTTCTGTACCAGTAGCAGACAGTCCGTTCTGTACCAGTAGCTGCCAGTCCGTTCTGTACCAGTAGTTGCCAGTCCGTTCTGTACCAGCAGCTCCCAGTCCATTCTGTACCAGTAGCTGCCAGTCCGTTCTGTACCAGCAGCTCCCAGTCCATTCTGTACCAGTAGCTGCCAGTCCGTTCTGTACCAGCAGCTCCCAGTCCGTTCTGTACCAGTAGCAGACAGTCCATTCTGTACCAGTAGCTGACAGTCCATTCTGTACCAGTAGCTGCCAGTCCGCTCTGTACCAGTAGCTGACAGTCCGTTCTGTACCAGTAGCTGACAGTCCGTTCTGTACCAGCAGCTGACAGGCCATTCTGTACCAGTAGCTGACAGTCCGTTCTGTACCAGCAGCTGACAGTCCATTCTGTACCAGTAGCTGCCAGTCCATTCTATACCAGTAGCAGACAGTCCATTCTGTACCAGTAGCTGACAGTCCGTTCTGTACCAGTAGCAGACCGTCCATTCTGTACCAGTAGCTGACAGTCCATTCTGTACCAGTAGCAGACAGTCCGTTCTGTATCAGTAGCTGACAGTCCATTCTGTACCAGTAGCTGACAGTCCATTCTGTACCAGTAGCTGACAGTCCATTCTGTACCAGTAGCTGACAGTCCGTTCTGTACCAGTAGCTGACAGTCCATTCTGTACCAGTAGCTGACAGTCCATTCTGTACCAGTAGCTCCCAGTCCGTTCTGTACCAGTAGCTCCCAGTCCGTTCTGTACCAGTAGCTGACAGTCCGTTCTGTACCAGCAGCTGACAGTCCATTCTGTACCAGCAGCTGACAGTCCATTCTGTACCAGTAGCTCCCAGTCCGTTCTGTACCAGTAGCTCCCAGTCCGTTCTGTACCAGTAGCTGACAGTCCGTTCTGTACCAGCAGCTGACAGTCCATTCTGTACCAGCAGCTGACAGTCCATTCTGTACCAGCAGCTGACAGTCCATTCTGTACCAGTAGCTGACAGTCCGTTCTGTACCAGTAGCTGACAGTCTGCTACTGGGAGATGAGAATGATACTGTTGATGACTGAATGTTTTTTTTTACTGCAGCAACCTAGGAATACAAAATACTGTACAGTGTGTGTGTGTGTTTGCAAATGTTTATTTAATTTTTTTTACATTTTAGTGATTTGGCAGAAGTTGCTATTCAGAGCAATTAGGGAGAAGTGCCTTGCTCAAGGGCACATCGACAGATTTTTCACCTAGTCGGCTCGGGGATTTGAACCAGCAACCGTTCGGTTACTGGCCCAACGCTCTTAAAAGGCGCTGCATGGTCAAACCGACGTCTGCATTGGCCGTGCAGCAATTACGGTGAAATGGCCTCTGCAGAAGTCAGGGCATTCATACTTCTGGCGCTTCACGGAGCAGAGCTGTTGTGAGGGAAGTTGTCAAGGAAGTGAGTTTGTGTTTATGCAGGACCTCCCGCCCTCACCTACCGTCAACCAATCATGTCAATGTGGAGCCCTCCGCATTGTTACAACATTTGAGAGGCGCCCGTCGATGCAGTAATGAGCTCAATTTGGCCTCTGCATGCCTCCGGAGGCGCCGCAATTGCGTCACACCATCCACATTTTCAGATCAAGCATAAATTGGCTTTAACCGCTAGGCTACCTGCCGCCACATGTCAGCTATGACGTTCTGTTGGATACCTTTGACCACCTGGAGTAGTATCCGACTGGAAGGACCACTCTGAATGAGCTGGCGGTATAGAATACACTCTAATGTATGTCCCCTGTAGCTCAGTTGGTAGAGCGTGGCGCTTGCAACGCCAGGGTTGCGGGTTCGTTTCCCACGGGGGACCAGTATGAAAAATGTATGCACTCACTAAACTGTAAGTCGCTCTGGATAAGAGCGTCTGCTAAATGACTAAAAATGTAAAATGTAATGGAGGATCCCTAACCCTCGGTCTCTTCCTCAGCTCAACCTGGTGGCCCTGAACCAACCCTACACAGGGAACTTTGGTGGTGACGACATGGCAGACAGGCGGTGCTATGAACAGGCCATGGCCATGGGCCTGCCCGACTACTACCGGGGCTTCGTATCCTCAAACATCCAGACAATTAATAAAGACCTGGTCCCCCAGAGGTTCACACAGAGCTACCCCGTAACCAACCTCAGGGTAAGCCAACCTCTGTTAGCCATGGGTCATCTAAGATCAGTGTTAACAAATAAAGTGTCAGTCAACTCCTTTTTTTTTCTGTATCCACAGGGGGACATTTTGTTCAGTAACTACAAGTCTATCTTCACTGGGGGTGGAGGCAAATTCCCACCAAACATCCCAATCTACTCCTTCGATGGACGGGACGTAATGGCAGACCCCTTCTGGTCTGTGTGTGTGTGTGTGTGTCTGTGTGTGTGTGTGTGTGTGTGTGTGTGTGTGTGTGTGTGTGGGTATGGGTGTGTGTGTGTGTGTGTGTGTGTGTGTATGGGTATGGGTATGTGTATGTGTGTGTGTGTGTGTGTGTGTGTGTGTGTGTGTGTGTGTGTCTGTGTCTGTGTCTGTGTCTGTGTCTGTGTCTGTGTCTGTGTGTGTGTGTCTGTGTGTGTCTGTGTCTGTGTCTGTGTCTGTGTCTGTGTCTGTGTCTGTGTCTGTGTCTGTGTCTGTGTCTGTGTGTGTGTATGGGTATGGGTGTGTGTGTGTGTGTGTGTGTGTGTGTGTATGGGTATGTGTATGTGTGTGTGTGTGTCTGTGTCTGTGTGTGTGTGTGTGTGGGTGTGGGTGTGGGTGTGGGTGTGGGTGTGTGTGTGTGTGTGTATGGGTATGGGGGTGTGTGTGTGAAGGGGGTCTGAGTGGTGAAGGCTAGGCTGCCCTCATCCTATATCTCTGTCTGAATAGTAAAGACTAGGTAGACATCCTCATCCACCGCTCATCTTCTCCAAAAGTCCCGCCCCGACCCAAGCAGCTTCACCAAAAGTCAAATGGGTTTGGAAGAGATGCGGCATGAGGGAGGGAGGGAACACACATGGCTGTTTCCACAAAATTACGTTTTAAGTGCAGGATAGCACGACCGCAATCCAGACACTGGGGGTTGTACCGTTGTGTGTTTCAGTACGGGCCCAATGCGAGCCAGCTATGTCCAACCTCGTTCTACTGATTCTATTTATATACCGCCGCCATGTTAATTTTATCAGCCCCGACGAACCAGAGACTAGAGGCTGGCAATTGTGGCTCCAAAGTGGCTTTTTATAGATGTTTTTCAAACAGACGTTTTCCTACTTTGTGGCGAGGTCTATTTGAGAATGCGTATGAATGGATATAGCAGGGGCAGAAAATAGGGATAGTGCTGTTGATGTCATCTGTTATGTTGAGGTCGCATCTGTATGGAGAGATTTCAGTGCCAACATAAACTGTATTTGAATTCAATATTTAAACATTTTGTACTAAGATACTGCATTTTAATTCAATATCTTTGAATGTGTAATGCCCAAATTGAATCGTTGAATTCATCAATTGAACTTGAATTTCATTATTTGAAACTGAATTGAATGAATATTGCATTCAGTTTTAAAATTCCATTTCAATTTAATTGAATATTCAAATTCAATATTTATATATTCAGTTTCAATATGGTAGGCATTGCATTCATTGTCTGTATATCAAGTTTACAAACTATAATTTCAAGTTTACCAAAGTTTGATATATTCAATTTCTCAGATGCATTCAGATTAAGTTTTCAAATTCGGTTTTAAAAATTCAGATCTATCCATACACATTGTAATTTTGGTCCAGTTTTTTAAAGAATATTTGTAAAAATTAGTTATACTATTTTGATATTGATTACTGCACTGTTGGGTAGCGCTTGCACAAATGTATTTTTCATTGTCACACACCGGATAGGTGCAGTGAAATGTGTTATTTTACAGGGTCATCCATAGTAGTACGGCGCCCCTGGAGCAAATTAGGTTTAAGTGCCTTGCTCACATTGTCGGCTCGGATATTCGAACCAACGACCTTTCGGTTACTGGCCCAACACTCTAAAGCATTGTACTTGTGCATGTGAAAAATAAATAATAATAATAATAATAATAAATACAACGTGAACTTCCTGGTAGGAAAGGTAGAAGAGAACAGATATGAATAAAATGCTCCATCTGTGGGTATCTCTGCTCAGTTTGGGGCTACATTAGTTCGTCCCATTAATGTTTTAATAGATGTTTTCATGGGAGGGGATTTAAAGTACTTGTTGGTGTTTGCGTGAACGTCTGTTATGTAATGCTGTATGACTTTAACGTGTGGGTTTGTGTGTGTGTGTAGATGTGTACATGTGCCTCTGTATATGCTGTATGACTTTAACGTGTGTGTGTGTGTGTGTGTGTGTGTGTAGATGTGTACATGTGCCTCTGTATATGCTGTATCCACACACTCTCCCATTATATTTGTATCTATTTCTCCCACAGGCCTAAGAAGAGCATCTGGCATGGCTCCAATACGTTCGGCAACTTGTTGGTAGACCGGTCCTGCAATTCGTGGCAGTCTGACAACATGTCCATCATGGGCCAGTCGTCCAATCTGGCTTCAGGCTTCCTCCTGGGACAGCAAGCACAAAGCTGTAACAACCAGTTCATTGTCCTTTGCATCGAGACCATAGAGCACGTTTCATAGACCTTTAACAGTCTCCACCGCTCCGTCCTCCTCCCATCTATCTGCTCTCATCTTATCACTCTGGAAAGGTGTAAATGTATGTAAATTGCTTCATGAACATGTCGTCATTGTCATCAACATATTCCTCCTCTCCCATCCTCTCGTTGGTTGGTTGATTGACTGAGATGAGAGAGCGGATACCGTCTGTCGATACCAGTTCCAAATCATGGCTTTGCAGAGTTTTTCAAGCCAACTTTCAAGCCTAATTTCTCGCTACAGATGTTTCTCCTAGTCAAGATGTCATCTTTTGTCTTCCAGTGATTGGCCATGTTTATCAGTTGTCCTATTAGGTAATTCTTTAAGAGATGTTTGTTCCATTAGACCAGGGCCAATAGCACATTTCACACGCATAACACCCATATTCTAAAAAGGGAACAATCAGTAAAGAAATGTTGATGCACTGTATTAGATTTATTTATACATCCAGTGATTTCTCGTTTGAGCAACAATTTCTCTCAGTATTTAATTTCAATGTAATGTTTTATTTATGCCGTAACCGCACATAACGTGAATGAATAAAATGATTAAGGTTAAGTATGTAATTTATAGTTTTTTTTTTTTATATGTTTTTTTGTACAGCATTCCTTTTAATGGCGCTAGAATTTTGATTTGTTATGTACCTAGTTAGATGTGACTTCATTCAACATAAATTCCACCAATCACATAGAAATTCACCACAAAAAAAAATAACTTATGAAATTCATAAGAGATTTGATCAGCATAAGTGATTATATTTTATACAATCATTGGTGCTTATTGATTAAAAATGTTTTCCTTTTCTTAATAATCTGAGTCGGATATAATCTGTTTTGAAAACCTGGTCCAGTTACGTCGAGGTTAAAGGACAAGACAGACCAATACGGAAGTCAGCCTTGTGCTGTAGATCAAAATCAAATCAAGTTTATTGGTTGCGTACACAGTTTAGCAAATGTTATAGCGGGTTCAGCGAAATGCTTATGTTACTAGCTCCTAACAATGCAGTAAAATGTCAAACAAGTACACTTTATTCATGTTTTTTTTTATTAAAAAAAACTGTAATTCAAGAAATGTCGGAACGAAGCCAATTAACAACCCAAAAGGCACTGTAACAGTTATCCAATTCCAATCCATACCTACACTACATGGCCAACAGTATGTGGACACCTGCTCGTCGAACATCTCATTCCAAAATCATGAGCATTAATAGGAGTTGGTCCCCCCTTTGCTGCTATAACAGCCTCCACTCTTCTGGGAAGGCTTTCCAGTAGATGTTGGAACATTGCTGCGGTGACTTGCTTCCATTCAGCCACAAGAGCATTAGTGAGGTCAGGCACTGATGTTGGGCGATTAGGCCTGGCTTGCAACCGGCGTTCCAATTCATCCCAAAGGTGTTTGATGGGGTTGAGGTCAGGGCTCTGTGTAGGCCAGTCAAGTTCTTCCACACCGATCTCGACAAACCATTTCTGTATGGAACTCGCTTTGTGCATGGGGGCATTGTCATGCTGAAACAGGAAAGGGCCTTCCCCAAACTGTTGCCACAAAGTTGGAAGCACAGAATCGTCTAGAATTTCATTGTATGCTGTAGCGTTACGATTTCCCTTCGTTGGAACTAAGGGGCCTAGCCGGAACCATGAAAAACAGCCCCAGACCATTATCCCTCCTCCACCAAACTTTACAGTTGGCACTATGCATTGGGGCAGGTAGCATTCTCCTGGCATCTGCCAAACCAGTTTGGAACTCGGTAGTGAGTGTTGCAACCGAGGACAGATGATTTATACGCGCTTCAGCACTCGGCGGTCCCGTTCTGTGAGCACCTCGCGGCTGAGCCGTTGTTGCTCTTAGACATTTCCACTTCACAATAACAGCACTTACAGTTCACCAGGGCTACTCTAGCAGGGCAGAAATTTTACCAACTGACTTGTTGGAAAGGTGGCATCCTATGACGGTGCCACGTTGAAAGTCACTGAGCTCTTCAGTATGGGCCAATCTACTGCCAATGTTTGTCTATGGAGATTGCATGGCTGTTTGCTTAATTTTGCTTAACAAGTCGCATAATAACTTGCATGGACTCATTCCGTGTTCAATAATAGTGATACAAAAATGTGTTTAACTACCCCATCTCTATACCCCACACATGCAATGATCTGTAAGGTCCCTCAATCGAGTAGAGAATTTCAAGCACAGATTCAACCACAAAGACCAGGGAGGTATTTCAATGCCTTGCAAAGAAGGACATCTATTGGTAGATGTGTAAAAAATAAAGACATTCTGACGCTGAATATCCCTTTGAGCATGGTGAAGTTGTTAATTAGGCTTTGGATGGTGTATCAATACACCCAGTCACTACAAAGATACAGGCGTCCTTGCTAACTCAGTTGCCAGAGAGGAAGAAAAACTGCTCAGGGACTTCACCATGAGGCCAATTGTGATTTTAAGACAGTTACAGAGTTCAATGGTTGTGATATGAGAAAACTGAGTATGGATCAACAACATTGTAGTTTCTCCACAATACTAACCTAAATGACAGAGTGAAAAGAAGGAAGCCTGTACAGAATATAAATATTCAAAAACATGCATCCTGTTTGCAACACTGCACTTAAGTAATACTGCAAAAGATGTGGCAAAGAAAT